AGCTATCATTTTCCAATAATAAACTATGTTAATTTAATTTCAGCAGCAATTTTTCTTAGCTCGCCCGTCGTTTGTATACTGACAATTTCTGACGGTATAGGCCAACGCAGAATAGATCTGTAACCGGAACCGCAATCGTAAGCGTAACCGTAAGAATGAGTTAAAGAAGGATAGGTATATTGTTTATCCTTCTCTAACTCATTCTTCCGCTTACGGTTACGATTGCGGTTCCGGTTACAGATCTATTCTGCGTTGGCCTTATATTGTCCTACCAAAAAAAAGCATGAAGGCATGGGCAAGATCGAATATCGAAAATATCAAAGAGAACTCGCAGCGCGATTAGGAAAAAAGCATTGGAGAAAGGCATACTCATAAGCAAAGTGCATGTTGCAGATGGAGCTGCGGTTGTCCAATTGTTGGCGCTAACTTTTAAAATGTTGATAGCCTTTTTTGAAATTGATAAAAAATAAATATTTATTTTTATTCATTTTTTAATTAAAAGTAATTAAGAAAATTAAATAAACAAAAAACTTTTTTTAATATTATTAATAACAATGAACATACATTCTAATTCAGCATCAGATAATTAAAACTAGACAAATGGTATATATTTATCAATTTATGTTTATTAAAAAAGAAATTAGAATAAATAAATTGAAATCAATATTATTGAAAATAATAAGTAATTATTAATAATAGTAACAAAGAATATAAGAGGCATTTTACGTGAAATGTCCTAAGTTGAAATTTCAACTTCTTGAAAAAAATTGAAACTCGAGGAATTTGTTTTTCTATCAAGTAGAAATGTGACCCAATAAATATTTTTGATTTTTTCGAAAAATTGGAGGGGGTAGAGGGGGATCAATTTGACCAATTTTGCCAACATCGGCTACTTTGTAAATTTTTTCTGAACATACTTGTAATGGGAAACATTTTTTAGAATATGTTTCTGAAAGGTTTTTTCGTCCTCTTTCCAATGGTGTATTTTATTTTTTAATATTTTAAAAATTTACCCTAATTTTTGATAATTTATATTTAATTTTCAATTTCCCAAAAATCGGTCCGTTTTTTTTGAAAATAAATTATTGCAAACGAAAGCCGAGGTTTTTTCCTATCGGCATGTAAATTTTCAGAATGCCCTTTTTTTTGTTTTTGAGTTATTAAATTTCAAAGAATAAATTGCGTCCCGGGAAAAAACCTTTCAGAAACATATTCGAAAAAATTTTTCCCATTACAAGTATGTTCAGAAAAAATTCACAAAGTATCCGATGTTGGCAAAATTGGTCAAATTGACCCCCCTCTACCCCCTCCAATTTTTCGAAAAAATCAAAAATATTTATTGGGTCACATTTCTACTTGATAGAACAACAAATTCCTCGAGTTTCAATTTTTTTCAAGAAGTTGAAATTTCAACTTAGGACATTATTCACGTAAAATGCCTCATAATTATAATAGGGCAGGAGTTTAAATCTTATATTTAAATGTAATGAAATTAAAGTTATTATAATTAATTCCAAATTAGGCAGCAAACTAAATTTAGAAATGGCGTAGAACAGTTAAAGATAATTCCCTATTTAATGCTTAGCGTTCGCCAGTTTCATATGCCTTACGCTTATATGTTTGTGTAAGTTTAATTGTATATGAAATTCACAAAGAAAAAAGAAAAATTGTAATTAATTAAAAATTAGGCAGGGAACTGAATTGAGAAATGGCAGAGAACGGCAAAGGAGACGGCCGCTTGCGGCCGTCGACTGCGCTAGTATTGTAAAATATATAAATAATTAATATATTAATAAGGGTGTCCAGCGGTCAGGAAAGTCAGGGAATTTTAATCAAAATCAGGAAATTTTTTTAAAATTTCATGAGAAATCGATTATTTTTATTTTTTAAATTTTCAGTCGACCAGATACTTGAATGAGTGAATCACTTTCGTTTATTGGTTCTCTTTCATTTTTGAAATCATCATCAAAAGGCTTTTCTAATTTGGAAAACTTTGTGAAAATGATTTTAATTTTATCTCATGGGAACGCGGCTTTACTTGATTCAAATAAATAGTTAATTGAATTGAATAAATAAATTTATTTAATACAAATATTGAATTATTTGAAACTATTCTTTCATTTATTTCACTCAAATACTTCGTTTATTTGATGCAAGTAAGAATTATTTGATTCAGTAAATTTATTTTATTGATTCTAATAGACTGGAATATTTAATCCGAATAATTCATTATTTAAAGCTAATATACATTTTATCAAGACAAATAAAAAAATATTTCAATCAATTAAATAATTATTTGAAACGAAAATAATGAGTTACTTGAAACTATTCATTCATTTATTTAACCCAAATATTTCGTTTATTTGATGCAAATAAAAATTATTTGACACAATAAATTTATTTTATTTATAATTATTACAAATAAATTTATATTATTACTATATAAATTTATTATTATTGACATAATAATTAATATTATGAAAAAATATATAAATAAAAATATTACAATAAGTTGATTTTTTAAAGAAATATTGAAATATATTCGTAAATATACATTGAATAAAGTATTGAAAATATAGCGGCAAAATTGTTCACTGCCTTGTAGTAATTCTACAAGTTTTATTTCAGCTAGTGAGACATGAGAGTGTTTAAGATTTGAGAGTCCCATGCGAGCGTAGTATAGTGGTTAGCGTGCGTGACTTCGGTGCGTGAATATTCGGTTAGGCGTGGGTTCGTACCCCCAAGCGTTAGGATTTTTCAAATGTGTATGTAATAAAAATTGCGTTTAAGTGTATAAAAAAATGTGAAAGTGAAATCAATGAATTGTCATCAGTATTTATCTTTTGCAATTAGTTATTTTTTTATTAATATTTGTTGATGTTGAAATTATCAATATTGAATGAAATAATTTTCATACTTGATTCAAATAATTATTTATTACATTAAAATATTCGATTTATTTGATTAAAATAATTTGAATTTGATTTAAATAAATAGTTATTTAATACAATTAAATAAAATATTCGGGTCAAATAAATATAGATTTGAGTTGAATATATTTTGAATTTGATTCAAATAATCATTTATTAGATTCAAATATTCTATTTATTTGATTTGAATTAGTTGTATTTGATTCAAATAAATAGTTATTTGATACAATTAAATAAAATATTCGGGTCAAATAAATATATATTTGAGTTGAATAATTTTTGAATTTGATTCAAATAATTATTTATTAGATTCAAATATTCTATTTATTTGATTTGAATTGTTTGTATTTGATTCAAATAAATAATTATTTGGTGCGATAATATAAAATATTTAGTTCAAATATTTATGTATTTGGTTCAAATACACATTTATTGGAATATAACCAAATAAATGATTTATTTGAATCAAATAATTTTTATTTGATTCAAATAATTTTTTTTTTCAGTGTATGATCATTTATTTTATATAAATATGTCTATTTTTTATAAATTATGTTTAATTATTTGATTTTTTAATTATGTTTTGAAAATTAATTTTTCATCGTCAAACTCAAAACACTGTTGGCGCGCAATTTGTCGTCTAGTTATACTAAAAATCCCTGACTTCCCTGACCTGTGGCAACCCTGTTACACTAATTAAAAATTCTGTTAATTAGAATTTCTGCCTAATAAATATTCAGTTAAATATAGAAATTAAATTGAACAAAGTTTCGAATAAAACTCAGCTTAATAAAATTTTGATTAAATATTTTAAAAACAAAATTTTTATACCTGATTAAAATTCAAACTAGAATTTAACCATAATAAGAATAATCCGATTATATATGAACGCAAACAACCTTTTCCACTGATTTTTTTAATTGATTGTTAACTACTCCGTTGAAACTGTAAAGATATATATTAATTAATTTGAAGAAAACACGCGGCGGGATGAAAAGTGATTGTGTGGATAATTGAGGATTACAAGAAATCTCAAGAGGCTATAGAGGATTTTAAGGTTTAAAAGTGATAAAGAAGATTACTGTTGGTAACAAGGAAAAGAATTGAAATCAATTACAAATCGTCTTTTACTCACGAAACAATCGTAATTTATTTGTCAATGGGAATTAAGGAATTATTTCCAAACATAATAATTGTTATCTGGTACAAATACTTATACTGTTTTTAGAAAAATACCGTTTACTATAAATGGTATAAATTCAAAATTTAGTCAATTATTAATATTGTAAATTTTCGAAAATAAAATCTCAATTATCAGAATGAATAAAAATGATCTAAAAAACTTTTTTTTGGGAGGCAAATTTTTTCTAATATTTCTTCTAATTTTTGGTAAAAATTTAAATTTATGTTAATTCCATCTTGATCGACTGAAGACAAAATTTAGTATTCGTTTCATTCGATAGATGTCGGCTCCTCACTGAGTTTGGCTCTCCTCATTTCATCTCACTTGTAATCGTAAAAACAGCGATTATTGCATCCTTCTCCTACATCATGCATAGCGTCATTCCCCCACTAGCAGTGAAAAGTTTGTATTCCCCCTTCCATCGCGCTATCCTCCTCCCCTCCACCAGCAAAGTATGCCACTCCGTTTTGATCCCCTACCTCTGTGCTCGTACTCTTCAGTGGCACGGGCCAAGCAAAGTGAGTCTGTTTGCCCGGTTCAAAAACTCACCGATTACGATATATATATATATTTTTCTGGTGTGTGTGTATGTGTGCATAAAATATCCACAAGTTGTCAATTTTTGTTTTCATATAGAGAAAAAATTGAAAACGGAAATTTTTGATAAAAAGTATATATACACGAGAGGAAGGTTGTTATTAACAAAAAAAGAAAAGTTGGTTTATTTGAAAATATATTGCCAACCGAAAATTCAACTTCTGGATTACAATAATTTTTTGGTAAATAAAAAATCTTTTCTTTTTCACTTTTAGTTATGATGAATTACAGTAAGTGTGTGATTGCCGGCTTTTTCGTGTGCCGGAAAATCGAAGAGGTCGCCAGACTGCCGTGGTCGTCGGCCATTGTAACTCCTCGTTAGTTGTTACTCGAATCCTCTCTCTTCCAGTGTGCTCTCCCATCTCTCTCTTTCTGTACTCCGTGTCTTCCTCTCTTTCGCTCGTTCGGTATATTCCTCTTCGTCTCTCTTTCGGTATTTCCCTCTCTCTCTGTCTCTCTTTCCCCGTGTTTCCTTCTCTCTCATTTGTACCCTTATCTATATCTCTCTGTGTATATTCATCTTTCTCTCTCTCGTGCCGTATTTTCTGTCTGCCCCCCTGCCTCCCTGGACCTTCCACAGCCACTCAACTTGCTCCCGCTCCATCCCGCTCTTTACACTCAACATACAGGGTGTCCCGTGAAATACAAGTGCATCGAGTCAGTGCATCAGGGACCATCATCATTATCATCTCTCGTTGAGTTTATAATTCGCAACGACGTGTTACGCCCATTCTCTTTGATAAAAACACGGGTGCAAATATTGCAGACACACAAATATATAGCACTGTATACATATAGGTACAACGTACAATCGCGAGTGAAAAGAAGAAACCGGTGTGTATTCTGAAAGAGAAATAAACACGCGTGTGTTTGATAGTCTCTCTTTCTCTCTCTCTATCTCTCTCCGCCTCTTTCTTTATCAAAAGGTGTGTGTTGTGTATTAAATGTACAGCCAAGTGTGGTGATGAGTATTTCTCTCCAGCTGAAATTCCTCCCAAGTGTCTGAAATCCTCGGTATTTGAAATTCCTGTCAAGCAATTCTCGGCGCTGTATTCCGCCAATTGTGTGTGTGTGTAGGAGACACACATTCTCTCTTAGGGAGTATCAGTGTCAAGAGCAGTGGGAAAAAATTATTTTTTATTTATTAATAACAATCGGTGGGAATTTTGTTTTTAAAGACAAATGGGAGTATTTTGGTTTTGATTCCATTTTATTAAAGAAATATGTCTTGATTCTTCCTCACTCAGTTGGATGTCTTCCTGTTTCTTTCTTTCTCATTCTTTCAAATCATGCTGATCGGTGTTAATATATATACACAGATACACAAATTGTGATACTCGCGTGACAGTGGCGTAACCACCAAATTTTGTTAAATTGATTGGTTAACTTAGTTCTTTTTTTAATATTTTGTTGATGGAATTTTGAGAAAAAACATTTGGTGTATTGTCAGGTAATAATATTGTTCCACTTTTTTGTGTGTGGTAGCAAAAACTTGATGTCAGTCATTAGAAAAAAATTCGTAAGTCACTCCCTCTCCCATTCTCTGTTCTACCCCGCCTTGGTTTATTATAAGAAAAGCTACAATGTCAGTTACAGGAAAAACTGTTTTGCATAAGTCTGCATCACTTGTAGGTACTTATGGGCTATAGACACCAAGTTGAAGTCCACAACGTTGGTCAACGAAAAACATTTTTTCATAAGTATATCACTCAAAAATAACGAAAAAATAATAAAAAACGGAAGATTTATATTTTTACAATAATTGTTGCATATTTCTTAAAAGTAATATATTTGAATACATTAGACAAACTACTTTTGTTGATAAACGTTGGGACTTTAATTTTGTGGCTATGCACCAAAAAGCCGGGATTCAAAATGATCCCTGCTTAATACTCGCTATTTGATAAGCATGCACGGGGAGAAATTTTCAATAAAAATTACTGTGCTTGTCACCTGAAAGCATATGCACACAATTTTATTTCATATGGAAAACAGTTTTATTTTCAAAATGGCCTCGGAATATTTCCTTGAAAGCACCTTAAAAATTACTGAACCAATACTTTCTAATTTGGTCCAAAGCAAAATGTATTTATTAGACCACCAGTTAGTCATGTGTAGGTTAACAAAATAGACAGTGCTGGTTGCAAATTTTTATTGTGCTGCCTTCACAATATGAAGTCAAAGAATGCCGGTTATTTCCGAACAACACGAAAGTACATTTAAATGGCATTTATAATGACTTCAATGTATATGGTTTCACCTAACCTCAAAGTTTTCAAATACTTTTAAATTAATAAGTTGTTTTCATTAAGTTTACTATTTCAAAAAAATGACATAATCCATTAATTGATTGAATTTATATTAATTGAGAGCCTGGATACTATATATATATATATATATATATATATATATATATATATGTGTGCCGCTGCGTGCAGTTGCAAGGAATAATACCAGTCGGACAGCAGATAATTTAAATTATGTTTACATATGCAATTTATCTGCCAGCACAGTAATTTTTGGTGTTTTATTGATGTATTCCAACCACAAATATATTTACGTTTTGTTGCGTGTAAACTGTGTAGATCAATGGAATATTTCATTTTGCCATCGAAACGCACTTGTTTTATAAGGGAACACAGTAATTTTTTTCATAATTTCCTTTCAAAAATTTAATGCAAATTTCTCTCCGTGCAGTAAAAATGTTACCGCCTGCACTCATTTTAAGTCTTGGTCATAGAGTTTGAAAATTCGGGAATATTCATAACTTTCCTAATTTTCAAACTCTATGACCTAAGTTATCAATATTCCCGAAGTCTTATTTGACATAATAGTTATTTGATATAAAACCCCGCTTAAAAAAATGTTGCCTGTCTCAAGGCCACCTCAAAGTTACCTTAAAGCTCCATCAAGGCTCATTAAGGAGGACTTTCTGGTCAAGGATTTAAAAAAAAATCGATTTTTCTTTATTTTCATTAAAATGTTCCTTATACTCTCTAAATCTGAATCAGTGAAATTCCACTGAAGATCAGTGAAATTTTCAGTCATTTTCCACTGATTCGTTAATTAAAAAACTACTGAAAATTTATGTCACACATATTGAAAATTTCAGTTATTTTTTAATTGGCCAATCAGTGAAAAATGACTGAAATTTCAATCATTTTTAACTGATCTTCAGTGAAATTTCACTGATTTAAATCGCGAGAATAGAGTCACTGAAAATCTGTCAAATTTTACTGATTCAGTTTTAGAGAGTTAATATTCAAAAGGAATTTTTGCGATACCTAACTATAATACACTTCTTACATAAAAGTTTAAAAAAGATGATGCTGAAATTTGCACCCAGTTTTCAGCACCCTCTTATTTGGAAATTAAATTTTAACATATTAAATATTTTTTATGAAGCTGTGATTTGCACGCACTTAATTTTCCAAAATTTGATATTGGTTTTAAACAAAAAAATATTTAACTTTAAAATTTAATTTCTAAATGGCAGTGGGTGTTGATAACAGAATGCCCGTTTTAGCTTCATTTAAAAAAGTGTGTTTTTTTAAATTCTGTACCAGAAAGTCCCCTTAAGACTCACATTTTTTTTACAATATCTGATTGGTTACTTTTAAAATTATCTCTAATAATTGTATTTCAAATGAAATTTATGACAAATAGATGTTATGTTAAAATTTATGTTAATCGAATTTTATGTATAAGACTTATAGAAATCGAAAATTTGAAACTGAAAAATTTGGGATTTTTCGATAAAGACGTCCCTAAAGTTGGCTTCGACGCTGAGCGTCGACAAATATATTTTCACTACACCGAAAAGAGTAAAATAATTTGTTTGAAGTTTTTAAATTAGACTGAAATTTTAAATATCAATTTAATTAGTGAAGAAATTAATTCTAAAACTCTAAAACAGTTAGAGACCATTAAAATATTGCAAATTAAAATAAATTCAAAATTTAAATCCGTTTATATTAATTGTCAACTTTTCTAGATTCAATGTCTAATTATAAATATAGAATTACTAACATTTTGAGATTCAATATGGGAATGCTGTTCTCCACTTGCGAACGTCAAGATCACCGTTAGGTGTCAGTTCAGTTGATAAAATCAGATTTCATGCCACCTAGTGATGACCTTGGCGTTTTCAAGTGAAGAAATTAAATCAAAATTTTATAATTAAAAAACGTTTTTGTGAGAATAATTTAAATTGTGATTTTAGTGTACATTTAAAACAAAATATACTCGTTATTTGTAAATAAATAATGTGCGACTATTTCCAACTATATTACGAATATTTTATGATATTTTTTATATCTAATTTCAGTCCGATGCTTGCAATTCTTAATTCAATTTCTTCAGTACCTATATCAAGATCCAATTTCTGATGATTTAGTTTAAAGTTTTATCATTTTCTGTAGCTTTAGTTTTAAGTCATATTTTTAACACCTCATTTTCTAGTTCTAACTCTTCAGTAATCAGTTCTCAGTTCTATCTTTTAAATTTTAATTCTAACTCTATTATCAAGGTTTAAGTTCTGAAATTTTAATTCTATGTTCCAACAGTGGTTTGAATTTGTCATTTTAGTTATTAGTTCTGAAACTTTTATTGCAAGTTCTAGAACTTTGGTTTAATATTTTATCACCTAAGTTTCAAATTCATTTTTTTAAGTTCAAACTTCAAAATTTATTTTCAATTTCTAAGTTTTAACACTTTAGTTTTAATTTCTAGCTCTTTAGTGATGACTCTGGTTATCGTCGACGCTTATTTATTTATTTCAAAAATTCCCGCAGTCCATTAGGACCATACATGGGTAACTACAATAATGATTATATAATAAAAGTCAGAATAAAATCTATAATACAATACATGTTATTATTCCGAAGTCGAGCAAAAATAAATGATAAAGTGCAAAAATTATAAGAAAATAATAGAAAAAAACAAAAAGAAAAAAAGGAAAACAATAGAAAAAAAAACATTATTTAGTTTTTAGACATGAAAAGTTACTAATTTTAATTTTTTCACCTAGGATTTTGAAAAAAATGTTCAGATCTACTGCCCAAAGTAAAAACGTATAGTAAGTCGCATTTGCCGTTAAGACGAAAGTCGCTTACATGGTAAGCGACTTTAAACCTTACGGCAAATGCGACTTGGTTTTTACTTTGGGCAGCAGAGATCACTTTTTTAACCTAACAGTTTTTAATCATTTGCTTGATTCTTTGCCATTTTGCAAAAAGAATGATCTTTGATGCTGAGTGTCAACGCTAAATTCAGGGACAAATTTGAAAATTTGTTTCAAGATCTAACCTCTTAGTATCAAGTTCTATAAACTCTGACACGAAAGTTCCAAGTTCTTACATTTCCGCTTTGTGAGTTCTTTCATACATCAGTTTGAAGTTCTCAAATATTCAAATTTTCATATTTGAAGTGTTTTTGAGTTTCAAAAGTCCCCCTACTTTTGGTACCTAATATTACCTATAATATAAGTACCTATATAGATTAAATTAGATTAGATAAATCTCCGACAAATCATTTCGTATTCTATTATCATTATTGCCTATTTTATTAACAAAAATAAACCAATTTCTATAAATTCAATTCATTTTTTCCAATATAATTCGTTTTAAAATTATTTATTCAATATAGATCCTGATAAATAAATTTTGTAGTTGAAAATGTTTTCAATTTAGTTTTCATTTGATAGTTTCTTTTTTAGAGGTAATAAAATTGTTGTTTATGATTTTGAATGAGGAGGGAGGGGAAGGGGGTTGTTAGCTTTTTGAGAAGTTTATTAAATTTTTTATTACTTTTCTTTATATATATGGGACATTCCA